CAAAATTTTCTTTAGATAATAATTAATTAAACAATTTTTAATAATTTTCAAAAATCTCAATCAAGATTTTTAGTTTAGTATTTTGGTTTACACAATATGACTAAAAAAAGTGAATTGATTTAACGCACAAAAATAGAACATCTGAATTATATTCACATTTAATAAAAAAATAAAGTCAATTAAAATAAATATATTCCTTTACAATTCTGCTGTCTCTCTTGTACTTTTTTTTTGTAATGACATTAATATCTCAGTGGAGTATTGCAGGAGATTAAATCAACGGCAAATTAAAGTCATTCAGATGTTGTCAGTCAGATGTCATCAGAAGTGTCAGATCAACATCGCTGTATGTTAACGTTAATACACGTACTGGTAAGGGGTCTTCGCTGGGCGCGGCGGACACAGAAGTGTCAGACGGCCTCGAAGTCGATGTGTAACGCCTGCTGCCTTTTCGTCCTTTCCTACTTGAGTCTAATAGCAGGACCTGTTAGCCAATTCGAGACTGAGCTTCGAGATATAAAAAAATATATGACGAGACGAGACGAGATTTTTTAGTTCAGATTAAAAAATACCGCAAGAGGTCGAAGTCACTTCAAATATATAAAAATATTAAATTACAATTATTAATTATTTTTTTGATGAAAAGAAAAATAAATTAACTAAAAAACCTCCGGGGGCATTTTCTTATTTTAAGCCTGTTTTGCTCAAAAGCAAATTATAATAATTAACTTTCTGTGTATTATTGTGATAGTAGAGATTTTGTATGAACATTCAATCATACCTTGTAATAGTGTATAGAGTAGTAACATGTGTAATAAATAAATAAAAACTAAATTAACAAAATGTAGCAAAATATAAAAAAGTTATATTTTAAATATAATTCTGAATTAAACGTAATTTATTTTAATGTATTTATAAATAATAAACTACATTATTTTTTAAGAGCAGATACCTTATTTAAAATCTGTTCTTTTTTTGGAATTATTTCTGTATGCGTATAAGAATTTAATCAAAATGGCGGCTGCTAAAAATATATAAATGTTTAATCAGGTTAAGCAAATGCAGAAACGTGTTTTGGTGTCCCCAATATAATTTACTTATATCTTAAAATATTAAAAATAATAATATATTTTTATACTCCAGATATTCCATATATATTGTTATAAATATACAGGAGGCAAAGCCAGGTATTTATCGATGGGATTGAAGTATTTCAAGCTTCTTGCGGATCACATCTAGCATTGTCACAATTCTAGCCAAAATTTGCGAATCAAGCCACAACACAATATCCCAAAACATATTTCTAAAATGTGCTATAATCATATAGGCCATTATAGAAATGTAGTCTTTAATGACACTAGCAGATGGATTAAACTTGTAGTCATTGTTATCAGTAGATACGAGTTTTTTTATGAAGTTGTATATTTCTAAGAGTGTAGTGTCTTTGTTCGTGTTTTATGTGAATTGAGATGTTTAAAATGAAAGTAGAAAGTGCTAAAATTTAAAAAAATACTAAACATAGAAACCATTATGGTCTTTTGAGCCTTGACCTTTGACCTTATGTCTGTTGAGGGTAACCTTTGATAATGTCATAAGGAATTTACATTTGCCTGAATATGGTCTTTTCTTTTTACTATTAGATTTAGTTATTTCTTGTAATTAAAGTGTTTAAATAGCTAGTTTATATTAGCCGCTCGCGTTGTACGGCAAGAATTAGCCTCGGTCCCTACAACTCCAAACTATATACGATTTTTTTATCTAAATCGGTTCAGCGGTTATATATATATATATATATATCGGTTGAGTAGTTGATTCCCTATAAAAACTTCCACCTCCCTTTTCACTCCCTTAAAGGATGATTCCTGGGATAAAAACTTAAACTATCTCTATACCAATATTTTATCTAAATCGATTCAGTGGCTTAAGCGTGAAGAGGTGGCAGACAGACAGACACACTTCCACATTTATAATATTAGTCTGGAATAATATGGACTAGTATGGATATAGATTTTTATGTTTTTCTTAATATTTAAGAATCACCAGTAAATGATAACATTATAGTAGTAGTAGTAGGCCAAAACCTCCTTTCTAAGGAGAGGCCTATGTCCAGCAGTGGACTGTTAAAGGCTGTTGATGATGATGATGATGATAACATTGACACAAAAGTATATCCATCTAAGTGTCCCGGGATTGACAACGACAGTGTTTTCTGGCATTATCTGTAAAAGTACCTCGTTTCGAGGGCACCTGGAATGCCCTAAGGGACTGATGCAGCGCACCGAGCGACGGCGCTTCTGTCACCAACAAGTCATACATATATACCTAATATCATTAATCATTGTAAAATAATAATGATATGACCTTGACCTTTGACCTTTTTGACTTTTTAAGAACATGATATACGTATTACACAGCAGTATCTAGACCCAAAATTAGTATAGTTTATAATATGAGTTTACAGATATAAATCCTAAACTATTTTCACAAAATATACCTAGCCTCTGAGTATATCCCTGTAAGGCATAAACTAATAAGAATCTATTTAAATGTGTTTATTCACGTCTTAGAATCCATAGTATCTACAAAGCATGGTAAATGTTGGGTCTAAATAGCATTGTTTAAAGTAATCCAGAACAATATCACTAAAAACACATAATCACCGTAAAAACCAAACCTGATAACCGCAATAATGCAAAAAGATAAACATCAAATTACCAATAATAATGTTTTACCTAAAATCTGTCAGAAAATCAGTCAAAAACTACATGAAAATGAAATGATTGTCAGTCAACAGTCATTAACTAAAATCTAAACATGCTTTAAGTAACTTTGTGCATTAATAATAATAAATACACACATCTCACACACGGCTGTCTGATCCCAAACTACGCAGAGCCTGTGCTATAGTAACCAGACTGCTGATAAACATACTTATATATTTCTAAATACATACATATTATAGATAAATTACAACCAGACACAGAACAAATGATCCTGCTCATCACAGATCTATTTGTCCTGCGTGGGAATCGAACCCGCGACCTCTGGCTGAGCAATCAGGGTCACTAACCACTAGACCAACATGCCAGGTGACCACATAACATTATAAAAACACTGATGCAATAATATTTATCAGAAAATAAACCATTAGTAATAATTTTTTCTCTGAATACAGATGTTCTGTTTGTTTAAACGCTCTTATCTCTGGAATAACCAGGCTGATTTGATAAAAACTTTCAGAGTCGGATAGATTATTTATTAAGGAATATTTTAAGCTATATATCATCACCCTGACCGTAGGAACAGATGTAGTGACCAAAAAATACGAGATACGAGTGAAACTGCAGGATACGACTAATTTCATTGTAAACTGACTATTGTAATATACTTTTATAAGAATATTTACTATGTAATAAAGTTAAAATTTGTGTTTTAGGGTTCCGTACACAGAAAGACCAAACGCAATCCTGTTACTAAGCGTTTGCTGTTTTCGAGCCACGCATAGAGCCCGCGCTCTATCTCATCTATTGAATAGGTAAACAGTTAAAATTGTAACAGTGTTTAATACATATGAAAACTATTGCCGCTACAATATAAATAATAAAATAAAATGAAATTGAAAACTAAGAGGGCTCTGGAGCAAAAAATGCTTCTTTGTTTGCGTAATACATGTAGGTTTCATCACTCGAATAAAGAATTTATGAAAAAAAATGAGATGAGCAGCTATTACAGTGATTAGTTATATTATCAGCGAAACATGAAATAATTAAATTAAAAATTAACTGAGGTTTCCTTTTAGTCCTCCATTCGAGCAAATATTTTATCATTTTAATATTTAACATCAAACTGTAATAAATTTTACAATGGCGTATAAAAGTTTCATTCTCGTGAATAAAAGAATTAAAGTTTATTGTTGCTTTGATGAAGAAAATACTGCTGTATTTTAAAGTTTAGTACCTACGCGGTGTCAATTTTTAACATGATAGTTTGTTTTTTTTTCATGGTATAAGGGGGCAAACGAGCAGACGGGTCACCTGATGGTAAGCAACTGCCGCCGCCCATGTACACCTGCAACTCAAAACTCATAAGTGCGTTGCTGCCCTTGGAGCCGCTGATTCGAGCGGGGGGGGATTTGGGCTCCTGTAACCTCACTTACTCAGTGAAAGGCCACAAAAGAATTGCTCAACACCGGTTTTCTGTGTGGCCTTGCTATCACTCCGGTCGAGCCGGCCTATTCCCACGGTAAGGTTGGTGGTGGAGGCGGCTCATTCGTGCCGAAGTGTGGCTCATCCACGGTGATGACCTTTATAATGTTTTTAAACCGTAATAGGTGGGCACTTGACAAGGATTTCCTTCCTAGGGTACACCTGGTGCCCGGCTACTGGTACCCGAGACGCCGTGCGGATTTTGGTCGGTTCATGACCGACATAACCACCGGTGGATGGTATCCGAGGGGATCGCCGCACAGACAAAAAAAAGGTGGACACTTGAAAATTTTATGGCGTGAATATTTAGTGTCTATAAGATAAATTCTCTTTAAAAAAAAGTTGAACCGACTTCAAACAATAGCAACAAAGAGCACTAAAAACCTAGCAGCGATCGCAGTTGATATGCTGTCATTTTTTGAGGAGTTCCGTTGTCTGTCTCCGAAATTCATCATCAGATTTAAATGAAATTTTAATGGGATCATTTCGGAATAACCCTTTCCAACAAAAAATGAATTTTGAAAATCGTCCGTTTGTCCGTCACACATTTTTGAGATTTCAGATAGCAAATTTGGTTTTATATTACTACTAAGTAATGGTGGTGATCCTAATCATCTACCTTAACTTTAGAAACATCAAAATGGTCTTGTAATTTTTATCAATAAGTAATCAACTAGATCTACTGGACCACGGCAAAAAGAAAAATCTTTTTTTGTCTCTTACTAATGTCTTTTAATACAACGATTTTTTAAAATAGTCTATAAAATCTACCATCCAGTCTTTTAAGCCGCAATTCTATTTGACACTACAAGAGCTGTACGCCTGTACCTGATACTTCTGTGGACAGCATCCGCATCGCGCACAGCACGCGAGCAAAGCTGGCGCGCGGCCGGAGTGAGCGGGAGACGCGAGTGGAGAAGGAGAGCCAGCTCTCTTCGCAGCCCCGTTGAATGGGTTCTCCATTTCGACGAATTCACGGTCCTGAGGATTTGTGCGGTTGGTATTCGGTTTATCTATATTCTGATACGAAATAAAAAAATATATTTTACATAATATTTGGGGGAAGGTCAAAAACTAAAGTTACTTTATAAACTAAACGGATATTGGGTAAATATGTCCTTAATTATATTGCCGTGTGGTGACGGATTAAGAATACGGAGTGTCACCACCGTTTTTCATCGCGTGAGTGCCGAAAAAGAAAACTAAGGGAGCAAACTACGCAGGACAACAGCAATTTAAAGAGACGGAAAACTTGAAACCATCCCATCTGGCTAACGTGGTATAGTAGGCCAATACCTCTTTTCTAAGAAAAGGCTTATGTCCAGCAGTGGACTACTGAAGGCTGTTGATTAATTCATTGATATAATTGTGCGCATATACAGGTATTAGCACATTCGCGTAACGGGTACTACATGCTTTTAAATTGCCTGACATTTCAACCAAGTTTTACTGGGCATGATCAAGAGCTGACAGATTCCGCCATGACTAGACTAATGCAAAAAGAAGTGTCTGTAATTTTTTTGTATGTACATAATGTATCCGTATATCCGTATGATCATGATGCGCCCTTTTTGTAATCACGAGTAAACACGACAGGCGAAATTCAGTTGAAACCCGAGTGAAAGTCAACTACAGAACTTCTTTAACAAACATACCTATTATTACACAACATAAAAATACTTTTTATCTATATTTGTAAGAGGAGATTGAAGGGTAATCCAATCAAATTCGAGAGATTTTTTATTCTCTCAAAAACTACTTCAAATGTGTTCATTTCATATTTAGTAACTTTGTGTATCTTTAACAGTGTTTACACTCGTATTTGTGATCAAATTTATATGACGCTGCAAATATTTTACAATTGATTACAGTTGTTTTGCAAATTGGTTGCGTATTCATCTCGTGGGTTTCTTAAAAGCCGACTAAGGAAGCAAACTACTCCGGACAACAGTACTGCAAAGAAAACGAAAACTTGACACAAACCCTATACCAACCAATCTGGCTAGCCTGGTATAGTAGGCCAAAACCTAAGGTGATACCTATGTCTTGCAGTGGTCTATTAAAGGCTGTTGATGTAATGATGTGTGTGGATCTTGTTAGGAAAATAAGAAACTAGCTAAGTTGGTTAGAGGCACAACTTTCTTACCCTATCCATTTTAGACCCTTCTGATAAAAATAACCTGCCAAAACCCTTTTCAATTATGCACACTGCGTCGACCCCGAATAAAATTATAGAATAGGCTACGATACGCGAAGTGACCGCCATCAGACCTCCACAACCCGAGGCGAGATTCTGTTCTGTGAAAGACTGTTGTTTGACCTTTTTAGGCCTCCAACTTCCCGTAACGATTGCCACAGATTTCATACCGGGACCGACGGCCTAACGTTGTCTCCGAGGCACGGAGGGGTCTCAATGTGTTAAGAATGGTCACCGATCTGGCTATGGTTACTTAACTTCGCACTATGTTTATCTACTCGGTTGCCACGAGCCCCGAGCATCCAATATCAATCAAAGTAGTAAATATCCTTCACGAAATCTGACTTGGTTAAACAAAAGTTCAATATACGAATGTTGGTTCTACATTTTCTACCCAATTGCTCCAAAGAAGAGTTATGTATTTTGAACGTATGCATGTAGGTATATTTATTTATTGCCACGCTTTGCAGCCTATACAATTTGATGGATTTTGCCTTGGGAGGTGTCATTAGATTCGTCTTCCTTGCTAAAGAGACATGGGGTAACAAAATTATGAAAAACAAGCTAATTATTGAAAAAAACAAAACACCAGACTGCGTGAAAATCCATCAAGCCGTTCAAGCAGCAGCGCGTGCCAAACATTTGAATTTTGGCACCAAAAATCCGCCATTTTGTTTTTATTTTATGACGACCGGATGGCGTAGTGGTTTGTGTAACGGACTGCTATTCCAAAGGTCGCGGGTTCGATTCCCGCTCAAGTGAAACATTTGTGTGCATGAACATTTGATATTTGATTTGATCTGGGTGTTTCTATGTATAATATGAATGTATTTACAAAAAAAAGTAAATATGTATTTATATCAGTTGTCTAGTACCCATAGTACAAGCTCTGCTTAGTTTGGGACTAGATGGCGTTGTGTGTATGTGGTAGAATATTATTATTATTATATTATTTTTGTTTTGATATACCCAGTGTCACTCTGCACGACACCTCTCTGGCTAAAATCCATAGAGCCGTTCAGGCCGTATATATATACATACATACATACTGTCGAAAAACATAAGTAACATAACTCTCCTTCTGGCGAAATCAGAAAATAAAATGTTACTAGACAATTTTTACACAGTTGGTTTGTGTTTTTTTTTAATAATTACTTATATAACCTAGCATTAAGTCCGTGTGGTGACGGATTCAGAATACAGAGTGTCACCACCCCTATTCGTCCCGTGGGTGTCGTAAGAGCCGACTAAGGGAAAAAGCTACGCAGAACAACAGCACTGCAGAGAGAAGGAAAACTTGACACAAACCCCATACCAACCCAGCGTGGTATAGTAGGCCAAAACCTCCTTTCTAAGGGGAGGCCTATGTCCAGCAGTGGACTAGTAACGGCTGTTGATGATGTGATGTGACTTATATAACCTTATTTTTTTAAGGTAAAATAACTTTCCTTTTACAGTTTCTAACTTAACTCACCGTTGTGCGCTCCAAGCATCTGAGAAGATGGTGATGCTGCAACTCGAAGATGTCCTCATCCCGTCCTGCGTCATCTAACTCTACGCCTGACTCTTGAGCTGCTAGCCTGGCTTCAGCTGCTTTCTTCTTTGACACGAAGGCTGCACCGGAGGAGGCTTTGGCGATGCGTATGCGGGCAAGACGAGCTTTCTGGAATTATATTGAGATTACATTTAGTAAAGGTTTTGAAGTGAAAACTTCTTTAGCGGCGTTGTACACTTTCTTTGTAATGGGTAAAAAATGTTAAACTCGGGTAGGACACGTGATCTGATCGAAAATTCGTAAGACGGATGGAGAGTAGACAGCCGACGCGGCGTAGGAGAGGAAGTATCCCCCTCTCTTTCTACGGCGCGGCGAAAATGTACCTATGCCTACGCCTGCTGTTTCGTTTAGGCGGCACAGGGCGCTTGCGCGAATGTTCGTGTGTGTTTATGTTACAGCGCGCCACGCGCATTCATGGATGGTGACAGTGACTCGATAAATTGTCATGTTTGTGTACGATAGCGCAATAAATAAATATTGTATTCTACCACATAAATGAAAGTGCTTTTATACTGATAAGTAAAGCAATTCGTGCAAAATATTCCCTAACCATTCCAAAATATCAAAAATGCATAACGTTAATATTCAAGTTTTCACTTCTGCCGGCGCTCCCGGAGTGCAACCCGTCGTTTTTTTTTATTAAAGGGTTTATATTTCTCCATAACGTATTGTGTTGAAAGTTGATTGTTATAGCTTGCAGATTGAGGTCAGATCAATAAATTATTTTGAAATTTTTAGTAAGTAAGTCAGATTTACCAAATTGCAAAAATACGAGTAATTATCACTTTGTAATGGAATGTTTAAGGACCAATCTTAAAGAATATCTAAAAGCGAAATTTAAATTGAAAGTATTTTTAAGTATTTTGTATGAACCTATGTCTTACACAGCTATTGTATCACATAAATGTACAGATAAGTTACAAAATATTTAATTCAGAAAATTAGTTTTCAAGGTTTTTAAACTTGTTTGTATTATTTATAAAGCGTTTATGTCATAATCAATTACGGCTTTGTCCCTCAAGTATAAATAATAAAAAAAACGGTCAGCTACGAGTCGAACTCGTGCGCCGAGCGTTCCGTACCTACCCAGATTTTACGTAGATTTTCGCGAAAATTTGTAAGTACAAAATTTATCTTAATTCTGAAATTTTATTTTTTGAAATTATTCCCTAATAGGGTACTGCCGGTTGACCTAGAATTGTCAATTTTGGTTAAAAGCAAGGTCTTACAGTACAAGTAAAGAGAAAATTCTGAAAAATAAAAAAAGTTGAAAATTTAGGTAAATTTTGGTACTTACAAGTTTTCGCGAACACCGAAATTTGCCTATACCGAAATAAAAAGGATTTATGTTAAAAAAAAAGACGTGTGGCACTCGGGGACTGCCGCGGTAAAGCTATTGCATAGCATTTTGTATCAACTTATGCAATTATAATTATTTATTTATTTTATTTATGCAGTATTTCTTTTTCTTTGATATTAATTCAAGTTACACTTTTTGAGCGTGGTGACCGATCAGAAAACAATTTTTTTTCTTTTATTAAATAAAAATATTGAAGCATATATTACAATTTGTTTTTAAATAAATAAATAAAAAATATTATTATTAAATCAAATTACATATCCATGTAAGATTTTTCTGCATTATGTTGACGAAATTTCCTTTGACGTTCAGCATTTGATTTTGGTACTGTTTTTTGTTTTGTTTTTAGCGTGAGGTTTTTTTTCGTTATGGAATTTCTGGATTCGGTCCCCGCGCTCAAGGCCCTCGATAGAAGCTATGCAATAGCTTAAAAGCCAGTCAAAACTAACTTCTTTAATTTAAAATAAACATAAATGCTGCCAAAAATCTTCTTCTATACCTGAGTTAGCTGAATATTTCTTGTCATTTTATTTACTTCCATTTGTCTAACATCAGATATTTCTATGTTATGTCTATACAATATCAGTCGTCAGTTGTGAACGCTTCTGTCTACATCTTAGTGAATAAAGATGGGAGTGTATGTTACTGTTTGTTTCCTTGTAAGTATGTTTATATTTCTATAAATATAATAGACAGTGAATATTGACGAGAGAAGAGAATGGCGCCTCTAAAACAATAAGCTCTTTTAAAGACTTTGAATACTTGGGGCCGTCTGCACAGCGATATCGTGGTTTTTTTTTTCGCAGTTCTTCTTGACACGACCTGTATACTGAGGAGGTTCCTATCTTTGAGACCCTAAACCACCCGTGTCTTGGATCCTGTACTCAAAATCGGTGGTCTACATGTGATATATGTTTAAAAATGTAATTAATATGTGAATAAAATAAATAAAGAGAATAATTATAAAAATTAATCTTTACTTATTCCTTGACCCTGTTTCGCAAACCTACACAAATGCTTCTAATACATTACTCGCTTCTCTACAGATAAACTTTATATTCACTCTATAATCTCTACGCGTCATATGCGCTCCAGACAGGTATAAAGCAAGCAGACCAATCAGAAGAATCTTACATCCACACTTGGCCTGCGATCTGCATAACATCATCAGTCAAAAATAAACTTACCCTTTGTGCTTTTCTTTTGTCAGCTCGTTGGTTCTGATGGTAGATCCTTGAGAAGTTGGAGACGATGACAGGCACTGGTAGGGCGATGACAAGCACTCCGGAGAGGGAACAGACACCTCCGACAATCTTGCCAGCGATCGTGCCGGGCACCATGTCACCGTAACTGGAAGAGGAGAAAATTTTCATGTTACCAAAGACCACATTATGTTCTTTTTACGGTTTTAGAGGGCAAACAAGCAACCAGTCACCTTTTGGTAAGTGCCTACCACGGTCGTTGCACCCCTTTTTTTTTCCGTGCGGAAATCCTTTCGGATACCATCGGATACTATCGGTGGCATGTTAGACTCGAACCGACTAAAACCGCACGCCGGGGAACCAGGAATACCCTAGAAAGGAAGTCCCTGGTGCCCCGACATACCTCGGGCCATCTACAACAAGTAGACGGCCCCCCCTGGTGGGAACCCAATGTTCCCTTTGCTCCCTGGAAGCGAGCGCGCTTCGCAACGCGCTCGCCGCCACCCCGGAAGGTCGTTGGAGCCCTGCAACTCAAAATACGCATGACCGTAACTGCTCTTTAATCGACCCTCCCCCTAAAGGGAAAATCTCAGATTTTATCAATTAGAGTGGGTCTGTGATGACAACAATCATCTCCAAACTTTATATTTAGACAACATTAACTTATATTCGTTAAAATACGTAGGTACCTAACACTAAGATATAATTGAGGACAATGAAAAAAAAAATGGTAATGCCGTTTCTGCATAAATAAAGATAAAAGAATCTTTGATAATACTATTGCATTAATTATAGGTCATAACAAGAAGTCTTTCTTCTTTTATTACATACAAATCAATCGTCCGCCATCTTGAAAACATTATTCATTTTTAAAAATAGTATTTTTTAACACACGTCAATATCATTGTTAACACAGTAAAAAAAATACGGGTCTAAACCGAGCGAATCCTACTTTTTAAAATAGGTCAGATCAAACGTAAGAATTCCACATTAAACATGTTTTTTTAGAACAACACTAACCATTCGAAACCACAACCCGATAACCGTTTAAAAACCAATCAATCAACGAGGTGTTCTCTCAAAAATAACCGTATGACGTCACAAAGTTAAAACAAACCAGTTTTAAATCATTTACGCTAAAAGCGCTTGGCGAAATACTTATAGAAGTTGCGTTTGTAATGTATAAACATAACATTTTTCAATATTATCACATAACAATAATTTCTGAGGAAATAACAAAAAGCTGTAGAGTAGTGTGCAGTATATTTTTTCCAACATATATGTATATATGTACAATTTTCCAAATTTAGCAACGGACTTCTGCAGTAACTAACTCCTTGGAAATGTGCGGTTGTAGATCGGCACAAGCATATAAGAGATTTTCGATACGTATATTTATAATTTGCTAAATATTTGACAAAACAGAGATTGTTGCTAATTATTGTGTGTTGTGACTTTAGAGTCCACACAAGAGACGATTTCAAATAGTTTAATTTTTTTATGAAATAAAGATATTTGAGTTTTAGTTTGAACATTAACAAAAAAAAATAGTGGCACTCCGAGAGTGCCGACAGAAGTGAAAACTTTTATACTTATATTCAGAGGTGTCGGTAACGGTAACGGTGTCGCGAGCTCAATTGTTTTTTTCCCATCTCATTAAATCTGTTTTTTCTTCAACTATAAATTACATTATTCCCTAACGCGCCTGAAGCAGATTTCCTTGCAAACTAAATTAACCGAATCTTTTGAAATTGCTATAAAAGGAAAAACTCTTTTATAAATAACAAGCTAATTATTTAAATAAAAACCAACTGGTAATTTCGGGTAACTTTGAATCGCGGTTTTGAACAAAGTTGTGAAATAAATTTCTTAATTTATTAAAAAAGAAACTTTTTGTTGTTTCAATATCATAACCGCGTTAATTAAAGTAAAACTGACACAAACCCTTTTTTTTTTTTACGTGTGGAAATCCCCTCGGACCGTCACCCCACCGGGGTTTGCGGCGGGGTGATGTGTCGGACTCGGACCGACTAAAACCACACGGTGTGCCACTCTGCGCCTGTAATAGGAGGGATCCGGGAAAAGCTGTTATTAAGACATCCGGACCCCTCCTAGCGCCTGCCCGCTCCTGGTGCGGGCTCCGTCTCAAAATTTTAACCTCTCTTTAGGCGACGTCCGGCACACGCGGACGCCGCCCCCTCGCGGCTGGCCAAACTAATGCGGGTGGAGGGGAAACCCACCCCTTCCACCCGCGGCCACACTCAGGGCGGCATGAGGCGGTGATAAGCGCGCCTCCGCCGCCCGGTTCACCGGCGGCAGATCGGGTCCGAGTGGAGGTCGAGGCGAGATTACTTCCTCGCAGAAGGTTGCGACCGCGGTAAAACAACTGTCGCTACCGGCCATGGAGCTTAAAACTGACACAAACCCTTTTTTTTTTTTTTTTTTTTTTTTACGTGTGGAAATCCCCTCGGACCGTCTCCCCGCCGGGGCTCTCGTTCGGCGGGGCGGTGTGTCGGACTCGAACCGACTAAAACCACACGGTGTGCCCTCTTTGCGCTTCCAGTTTAGGAAGGGTCCAGGTAGCTATCTCCTTCTGGACCCTTCCCAGCGCCGGCCCGCTCCTAACGCGGGCTCCGTCTCAGTGGACCCTCTCTTTAGGCGGCGTCCGGCACACGCGGACGCCGCCCCCTCGCGGCTGGCCAACTAATGCGGGTGGAGGGGAGAACCCATCCCGTCCACCCGCGGCCACACTCAGGGCGGCATGAGGCGCAGGTGAGCGCGCCTCCGCCGCCCGGTTCGCCGGCGGCGGATCAGGTCCGAGTGGAGGTCGTCCTCCCGGGCCTTCTCCGCCGCCTCCTTCTGCGAGATTACCTCCTCGCAGAAGGTTGCGACCGCGGTAAAACAACTGTCGCTACCGGCCATGGAGCGAATTACGGCCGGTAGCGAGAGATCCGCTCCGATGACTGCAGTGAGGGCCCGGCGCTGCGTCGCCCATGCGGGGCAAACCGCCAGCGTGTGCTGGGCCGAATCCTCACTGCAGTCGCAGTGGTGGCAGGCGGGACTCGATTCCCTCCTAGCGACCGAGTACAGGTACTTTCCGAAGCAACCGTGCCCGGAAAGCACCTGCGTCAGCCGGAAGGAAAGGGTCCCGTGCTGCCGCCCTGCCCACTCGGCGATGACCGGCTGGAGAGCCTCCACGGCGGCGAAGCCAGCCCGTGGAGTCTCCAGCCGGAACGACCATCTCACCATAGTGGCTCGGCGAGCGGCTTCGCGCCACTCGCGCACGTCTTCGGGCGGAGGGCGAAATCCGCTCTCCGCCCGGAAGTCAGCCACTCGCCGATAAACTTCGGCGAGCACTTCCGCCTCCAAATCCCACGGGGGTGTTCCGGCCAAGGCACAGGCCGCCTCGGTGGACACCGTGCGGTATCCGCGTATGGCTCTGACCGCCAATATCCTCTGGGGGCGCCAGAGGCGCGCCCTATTCGGGGCGGTCAGAGCCGCCACCCACACCGGTGCACCATAAAGCGCCATGGACCGGACAACCCCCGCGTACAGCCGCCTCGTGGGAACACTGGCCCCGCCCAAATTGGGCAAAAGTCGCCCTAGGGCGGAGGCAGTGTCCACCAGCTTCGGACCAAGCTGTCGGAAGTGCTCGTCGAAGAGCCACCTACCGTCTAGGACCAGACCCAGGTACCTCATCTGGGCCCGGACCGGTACGAGGACCGAGCCGACCTCGATTGAGGCGCCGGCGGGTGGACCACGACGGGGCCCATGAAATAATAGGGCCTCCGTCTTATCCAGGGCCACCCGCAAACCCAACGCCTCAATGCGCCCGACCACCAGGGAAACTCCCGTGGCGGCCAGGCGCGCCGCCTCCTGGAAGTTAGCCCCCCGGGCCGTGAGCAAGGTGTCATCCGCGTAGCAGATTACACCCAGCCCGGGGGGGAGACGCCCTCGTAGGGCCCAGTCGTACCCGATGTTCCACAGGAGAGGTCCTAGGACAGACCCCTGCGGAACACCGCAGGACATGGCCCTGCGTCTCAAGACGCCATCTCGGTCCTCGTACATGACGGTTCGCTCCTCAAGATAGTCCGCCACCAGCCGCCTCAGGTACTCCGGCACTCCGTGGTAGCGGAGCGCTTCCCTGATGCAGCTGAATGGCAGACTATTGAAGGCGTTGGCGATGTCCAAGGACACCGCCAACACCACTCCGCCGCAGCTCACGGCCTCCTCGGTCACGGCCCTAAGGCGCATTACGGCATCGATCGTCGAACGCCCCTCTCGGAAACCGAATTGGGCGTCCGACAGATCGGGGCCAACCTCGCAAAGGTGCCGGACGATGCGGGCAGAGAGCACCCTCTCGAAAAGTTTGCCCGCCTCGTCCAGCAACACGATAGGCCTATAGGCCGCGACCGATTCGGCAGAAACTGACACAAACCCTATACCAACCCGTCTAACCAGCGTGGTATAGAAGGCCAAAACCTCCTTTCTAAGGAGAGGCCTATGTCCAGCAGTGGACTATTAAAGGCTATTGATGTGATGAGATGTGAAAAGTAAACTGTACAATACATAATTTTGCGAATTAGTCACCTGAGTAATTAAAAGTGTTTGCTGCTCAGATACGTCATTCAGTTTTACTCAAACCATAAAATATTCGAATAAAATAGGTTTTTACATTCAAAGTTTAGATTCAAAGTTACCCAAAAGTCATGATAACTTTGAATTTGACCTTTTAGGAATTTCTGGGTTGGTCTGTTGTTTTCCCGTAAATTTGTTGTGTTGGAAGAATAAACCAACTCAAAAGAACACTGTTTAATCAATAACGTGTATTAAATATAAATCAGATTGTAATATCACAAATACTGTAAAAATGTTCCAAGTTACCCAAATTATATTTTTTGGACATTTCGGACGTCTGACACACAACGCCATCTAGTTTCAAACTAAGCAGAGCTTGCTATGAAGTCTAGATTGACTAATGGAATATTCATATACGTTTTTTCTTGTAAATACATACATATTTTACATAGAAAACACCCAAACCCCGAAAGAAAAATTTGCAGATAAATATATATATAAATAAATTCCTGGTACCCCGACGTACCTCGGGCCATCTACGGTAGGTAGATGATCCCCTCCAGTGTGAAAACCCCATGTTCCTGTTGTGCTCCCGAAAGGGCATTCGCGCTCCGCAGCACGTCTCGCCGCCATCCCGGCCTGCTTCTGCCAGGGTGACAGATGGCCTCACCTGTCACCCCCAGACCTTCGCTTATGGAGGACGGAGGTACGTAGGTTATCTTATGGTTAATATTTACAGCACTAGTGTAGCAAGCAAGCATACAATCCGTTTGATTACAATGAATTACCGTAGAATGTAAATTCCTGCTGTACTCTGTATTTATTATTTGCGTCAACTTTGTACTACTTAAAATGCTGACTTAGTAGTTTTGACACTTGGCAGCTTACAAGCACTTACGTCCCTTAGAACCCTTATTAAGACGCTGCCTGTCTTCATAAACTAAACGTAATGCGTAAACAGTCGAAATTTTCATTTTTCACACTGTTTGTAATTTTGTAGAAGTAACTAAGTACATTTGTGTATAAAATAATAATAATAATAATAATAAGCCCCCTAAAAATCCAACCACACGTCCTGATCGACCATCTGATCACGTGGGGGGCGGACACACGAAAGAGAAATTACTGGCGTGGCTAACGTGGCACTGGTAGGTAGGGATTAGAGTAGGCAGGCAGTAGAGCGACAAAATAGACGGTTAATTAAATGGGTAGATAGGTGGATAAGTTAATGGATAGGTAGGCTGGTAGACAATAGATAGGTAGTTAAGCAGGGAGGTAGGAATGTAAGGAGGGAAAACCCAAGCCAAGGTGGAACAGAATATGCCAAGGGCTGCGTGGCTAAGGGGGAGCTTAGTCGATAATATTCGAACTCTGAAGAAAGGGGGACCTTCAGTTTAAAGTACCCTTGCCGTGGTGAATGCGGGGCTATGCCGCGGTGGACCGTATGTCCCCAGCTACTCGTGGGAACGAAATGATAAAAAATGCAAAATAAAACCAATAAGTATAATTTAAGGCCGCTACCCGGGGGTCGCCGGGACTCAATTAGAAATAATAATATTAATAACCAAACTGACAGACAGACTGACAATGACAATATTAGCTTAAATTCTTTGACATCGCTATCAGTAACTGAACCATATAGTCCCTCAACTAGCTCGTACAGACCTACACCGGTGTCTTTCGTGGATGAAGATTCACACGAAACACCGAATCCAACCTTAGCTGTTACGCAGGAGGTGAATGCCTTTTTACCTGCGTCCACTAAGAGTGGAAAACCTAGAGTACGCATGAGGTGGAGTAAAGAAGTGAACCTATTCATCATGCGTACGTACTACCAAATCACTAAATTAGAGACAGACATGACAACATATAGGAAACAATTACACGAACTTTTTACACGACACTATCCCGATATCAACGTTACTGAACAACGAATTGCCGATCAAAGAAGAACAATTGTTAGAAATAAACTTCTAACCGAGGAAACACTACACATATTAAAAGAAGAAATACGAATGCAACTACAGCAAAATGAACACATCTACGAGTATATAGAAAATAATTCGAATCCTCAACTTCACAATACTCAATCAGTAACAACAGCATTACCTACACAGTCACAACCACACACAATCACACAATCTTCACACATATCCACACAACCTGAGACTATAACTTTAACCCTTGAGAATGATATAGAGATTATGCAAAACGTTAACCCCTCATCAGATAATATACAAAAAATACAAGAAAAATTTAGAACAGCATTAGCGTTATATTCTAGAATGGATCCAATCACTCGACCAAAATTGCCTAAATTAAAGTACAGTAGGAAACTTAGTGAATTAACACACGTTTTTAATCATAACATACTACACCAATTTTTATCCGAAGATACACAATTAACAGATATTCATACCTTAATATACTGCACAGCGTTAGTTATAAGTGAAGAACTAAATTATAAAATAATAGATCACCCTAGAAATATACTAAGAAAGAATAGTAAACCTCCATGGCAAATAAGACTAGAAAAAGACATTGAACAACTTAGAGCAGATTGCGGCAGACTTACCCAATATATCAACAACAACAGGTCAAACAAAATAGTTAAGAGAGTAGAACAAATTTTTAGAAGACAATGCACTCACACTAGACACGAAAATAATAATAGAAAACCCGAAGAATACCTAGACACATTAAAACAAAAATTAGCACTTAAAGTACATCGACTGAAAAGATATAAAAAAGCACAACTGCGTAAAAATGACAACATGTTATTCACCCTCAATGAAAAATCATTTTATAGAAACCTATCGAAACCACAAACTGCTACAACTAGACCCGAAAACATAGACATTCCTACACAGACACAACTTGAAACATTTTGGTCAGGTATTTGGGAAGAACCGGTACAACACAATGATAAAGCAGACTGGATTACAGAAGAAGAAAATAAATGGAATTCAATAGAAGAAATGGAATTTGATTGTATTACAGAAGACGATATTGCGCACGTAACAGGTAAACTACACAACTGGAAATCTCCTGGCATAGATAAAATACATAATTACTGGTACAAAAAGATAACATTATTTCACAAACCTATAGCCAAAAACTTAACATATATAATTCTGGGGAAACAGAATATACCTGAATTTATAGGTATGGGTATAACATATATGCTGCCAAAAACCGCACACTCACCACAGCCTTCTCAATACAGACCCATAACATGCTTACCTACTATATATAAAATTCTTACATCAGCAATAGCCCACAAAATTAATATGCACATTGAACACAATCACATAATAGCAGAAGAACAAAAAGGATGCAGGCGGGGACACATGGGATGCAAGGAGCAGCTGATCATAGACTCTACTATCCATAAACATGCTACTACAAAAAACAGAAACTTACACTGCACTTACATAGACTATAAGAAAGCGTTTGACAGCATCCCACATTCTTGGCTTTTAAAAATTTTACACATCTATAAAATTAACCCTAAAATCACAGATTTTATGCGCGATATTATGAGCCATTGGAAAACCACATTACATCTAAATATGAATGATAGAACAGTCACGACCCGACAAATCTCTATAAAAAAAGGTATATATCAAGGTGATTCCTTGAGCCCCTTGTGGTTCTGTCTTGCCTTGAATCCCTTGTCTCATTTGCTGCAGCGATGTCAGGCAGGATATCGTCTGAGGAATTCTACAGAAGAAACTATTATTTCTCATCTCATATACATGGACGATATTAAACTATATGCAAAATCCGACAAAGAAATGACAAAACTATTACAAAATACAACAAAGTTTAGTAAAGATATAAATATGGAATTTGGACTGGATAAGTGTAAAACGTTACACATAATCAGAGGGAAAATACGCCCTGGGGACTACGCAGTGGATGAGTCAAGTACGATAGTAGCTATGGAGTCAACAGATTTATACAAATATTTAGGTTATAAACAACTTAAAGGGCTAGATCACACCTCAATAAAACAAATATTAGCTACTGAATATAAAAGTCGAACTAACACTTTATGCAAAACCCAACTTTCTGCTAAAAATCTGATAAAAGCATTAAACACATACGCTATTCCAATACTAACCTACTCATTTGGCATTATAAAATGGACAAAAACTGACATAGAGCAAATAGAACGAACTACACGCACTACATTAACCAAACACAACAACCTACACCCTAAATCCGCCATAGAAAGACTTACTATCAAAAGAGAAAATGGTGGCAGGGGTTTAATAGATATTTATCATCTTTGGCAAAAACAAGTTTATAATCTAAAGACATTCTTTCGCACAAAATCACACACAAGTAACATCCATAAAGCCATAACTCTAAACGACTACAATTTCACACCACTAAACTTAAATGATCACACTGGAATACACAACCCTAATAACATAGACCCACAGGCAGACAAAATAGAAAACTGGAAAAAAAAGGTACTACATGGAAGACACCCTCATGATTTAGAGCAACCCCACATTGATACAATAGCGTCAAATTCATGGCTTAAAATTGGTAACCTATTTCCAGAAACAGAGGGATTTATAATAGCTATACAAGACCAAATAGTTAATACGAAAAATTATAGAAAATATATAATCAAAGATGCAACCGTTACAGATGATAAGTGCCGAAAATGCCACATTCAATCTGAAACCATTCAGCACATTACTGGAGCATGCATTACCCTCACACAAACGGATTATACACATAGACATAACCAAATAACTAACATCATCCACCAAAAATTAGCACTCAAACATTATCTTATACAAAACACAAACACACCTTACTACAATTATACTCCTCAATCTGTATTAGAAAGTAGCTCACACAAACTTTACTACGACCGCGCCATCCTCACAGATAGAACCATCCACTATAACAGACCAGACATAACCCTACAAGACAAAATTAACAAAACCACCTACCTAATTGATATTGCAGTACCGAATACACACAATCTACAGAAAACCATCACAGAAAAAATTAGCAAATACACAGAACTAAAAGAAGAAATAATACGAATCTGGAGACAGGAGAAAGTTTACATAGTACCCATAGTTCTATCTACCACAGGAGTTATACCTAAACATCTTCACCATAGCCTTAAATTAATCAATTTAAATGAATCCGTGTATTTTAACCTACAGAAAGCAGCAATATTGAACACTTGCCGAACAGTCAGAAAGTTCATGGATATTGAAGAGAACGGAACAGCACAACACACACAGCAACCACCATCTACATCTACATAACAAAGACACACACCTCACTGTATTTACTTGGTTTTGGCCCGTAAATACAGTTGAAACCAGCCTTGAGCTGAGAAAAATTAAGACTACAATAATAATAATAATAATAATTTATTGACAATAACAATAAGCATACATTAATTTCAGAATTCTCTGGCTCCTACACTAGTAGATACTGTGTTGCAGGAGCCAGTGTCCTCCCCAATTTACATAGACAGTCAAAATTTTGGTATAATAAATTAAAAAAAAAAAAGAAAGAAAGGAAAAACAAAATCAAAATTTAAAATAATAATCGATTCATGCGCTGTGTGTGTGTGTGTGCGTGTGTGTGTGTGTGTGTGTGTGTGTGTGTGTGTGTGTGTGTGTGTGTGTGTGTGTGTGTGTGTGTGTGTGTTGGAATATATATATGTGTGTTAGGGCATAAGTTGGTTGACTAAGGTAATAAGTTAGTTCACTTATCGACTCTTAATAGATTTTCAACAGTGTCGTAGTCCATTGTACTCAGCCAGGTATGTACAACTCTTTTCAGCTTTAGATGACTGAGCTTTTTTATTTTTTGTATCTTGTTACATTTATTGTATATGTAGGGGCCAAGAAAATTAAAATGCCTTTGCCCAGAAGCACTTTTTGTTCTAGGTACCGGGCAACGTTCTACACGTTTGTTTGACACAAGTAAGGTTGACATAATTTTTTTATGGTAGCGTCTTAGGATCTCATAAATAAACATTTTCCTTACAGAGAGGACGCCAGCCTTTTCGTATACTGCTGTAGTGGGATGCCTGTACGGTAAGTACATCAGCACTTTTAGAACCGCACGCTGGGCCCTCTCTGCCGTCAAAAGGTAAGTTTTACCTGCGCCTCCCCATACACAGATGCAATATCTGATGATGCATTCACATAGTGCTCTGTACGTCCCTAGTAAGAGGTCTACATCCCCGATGTTACGTAGATTTTTAAATATGTGTATAATTTTTCTTATTCTAGTTGTCACAACCGCTATGTGTGGGCCCCAGGTAAGTTGGACGTCTACTGTTATACCTAGATACTTAATGGAAGCTACACGAGATAGGGTTGCACAGTCACATTTAGAGCGATTCACTCCACGATTACAGGGATACATGTGTATTTTAAGATTGTGTTTTGCAGATGGTTGGCTCATAACTGATTTACTGAAGCAGAGATATTTTGTTTTATTGCCATTTAGCGATAGAAGACTATCTTCTAGCCAAGCAGTAGTTTTAGATAGGCCCTGCTCTGCTGCATGAAACACCTTGTCCCAGGAATCTTCATGAAAGATCAAAACTGTATCGTCTGCAAACATAATGATGTCCATGTTCGATCGAGTAGCAACATTACATAATTCGTTAACGTAAATGATAAATAAAGTAGGGCCGAGTGTGCTGCCTTGCGGTACACCGTATCTGCAGACGGCGCCGTCACTTTCGATTCCTGCCACTCGCACACATTGTGATCTGCCTGTTAGATAATCTGTGAACCATTCCAGAGCGACTCCTCTTATGCCAACGTTTTCAAGCCGTGTCAACAAAATCGGTGTAGATACAGTATCAAAAGCTTTTTGGAGATCCAAAAAAACTCCTAAACATTTGTCACCTTTCTCTATATTTGTTACTATATTGGATGCCAGCGTTAGAACAGCATCCTCCGTTGATTTTTTTGCCCTAAAACCAAATTGACAGTTGCTTAGCATTTCATTTTTTTCCAGATAGTTGATTAGCCTTTTGTTAACTATTTTCTCTAATATTTTTGACATCGTTGACAATAGAGATATGGGTCGATAGTTTGATGGTTCACTTTTTTCACCCGATTTAAATATTGGGCAAACCACAGCTTTTTTAAAATTGGCCGGGAAGGTACCGGTTTCCAAACTCTTATTGCATAAGTACGTGATGGGTAAGGCAAGGGTTAAAATATTTTGTTTTAGTATTGTTGCAGTGATTTTGTCCCATCCTGGTGCACTATGCGATCTGAGTCCCATAACAATACTTCGTACTTCATGTGGATCAGTCGGTGTGAGGGATATAGACTTCAAGGGCGTGTTATTGGTTTTTGCTTGCCTTGCTAGATCTTGTTCCCGGAGACTCATTTTATTTAGTATCTTATTAGCCAGTGTACTACCTACTGAAGTAAAATATTCATTAACTTTGTTTAGGGATGTTTTAGAAGTGACGTCAATATCAAGTACTTCATTAGAGGGTTCATTTTTGCGATTAAGACTACAAAATTCTTTCACAATTTTCCAAGTTTCCTTTATGTTCCTTCTATTTATGTGTAATTTTTCTTGGTAATATCTATTCTTAAGATTTTTTATAATAGAATTGCACACATTTCTATATTTTAGGTATTTTTGAAGTTGTTGTATATTGTGGGGTGACTTTTTTGCTTTTTTGTGTAGGACATCTCTCTTTCTTATACTTTGCACAACTCCTTTCGTGATCCAGGGTTTAAAAGTAACTCAGTGCGATGTTTTAGTTCATTATAAACCGTAAATAATAGCTATAGTTCTTGATACTAAACAAAGTAGACTAATTAAACTTTACGGACATACGAACCAATTTTACTGTGGCATCACGCTGCTTATGTAATTTTTAAATAGGGATTTCTGAGAACAAATTTTTAAGGAACTTCAGAAATATTTAAAAGTTGAACTTTTCGACAGACTTTCTGACAGACGAAAATTCGGACTAATTGACTTGAAATTATAATATCCCTATTTATACCGTTTGGTTATTACTAAAAATGCCTTAATTTAAATTACTAATCTAATCATGCATACCAGGTATTATATTTTAGGGAAATATTGTACTCGTATAAGAGGGTATGTATGATGTTGGTATAATAAATAGATAAATGAATATAATCATTAATATCTACTATCATAATTGTGAAACTAAGTTTATTTACCATTTTAGTATATTCATTGTATTGTATTTAAGTAATTAACTAAAGCGTTGTAGTGAATTGACACAGATATTAAGCGGACATTATGTTTAGAGCGCAGGAGAAGTTTCCGATATTATGCGTCTAACTTTAGCCATTCGTCTTGAGACTGCAGGCCAATTTAAAATGTGAGTGGACGTTAGATTGTTTGTAACACTCATACCCAAACTGCTCAACCGATCATCATGAAATTTTACATACACATACACAATTTTTGTATAATTTTAAATAATTGTTAAGGATATAAATAAGGGACTAGGGCAATTTTAGATTATAAAATACCTACTATTTTAATACCGTGTGGTGACGATTTAAGAATACAGAGTGTCACCACCCCAGTTCATCCCGTGGGCGTAGTAAGAGCCGACTAAGGAAGAAAATCAGGACAACAACACTGTAAAGAGAAGGAAAACAAACCCTCTACCAACCCGTCTGGCCACCGTGGTATTGTAGGCCAAAACCTCATTTCCAAAGAGATGCCTATGTCCATCAATGGACTATTAAATGATGATGGTGATGCTATTTTCGAGGAGTAACGTAAAAAAATATAACTTCACACATCTTATACACGGGCGTCTGATCGCAGCCTAGAGCCTCTGCTATGGTAACTAAAACTAGTACTACGGTAAACGTACATATGTATATATTTGTAACACATACATAGGTATTGTAGATAAATTACACCCAGACGCAGAACAAATGATCGTGCGTATTACACAATTATTTGTCCTGGGTGAGAATCGAATGCACGACCTCTGGCTTAGCACTGAGTCACTAACTACTAGACCACCAGGTCGGTCAAATGAATAGTTAGTAATAAACTAATGAATGAAGAGTTTAACGTAAAAATGGCCTTCGCTTTAACATCTTAGGGTTAACGGTGTGTTTCTCGACATCCGTATGTTTTTCACACCTGCTACAAAACACATTAACCTGTCAACGGCTACTTCATCACCAGATGAAATACGAGGAAATAATTTAGAATTGAAATTGAATAATAGTAGAAAGAAATTACCTTTTACAGATGGTTTCTTTTAAAAAAGTACATAAAAATAGCTATCCGTGTGGTGACGGATTGAGCATACGGAGTTTCACTACCCCTATTCATCCCGTGAGTGTCGTAAGAGACGACTTAGGAAGCAAGCTACGCAGCCGAGGACAACGGTATTGCAAAGAGAAGGAAAACTTGAAATAACCCCTAAACCAACCCGCCTGGCCAGCGTAGTATAGTAGTCTTAAACCTCTTCTCGAAAGGAGAAGCCTATGTCCGCAGTGGACTATTGAAGGCTGTTGATGATCATAACGATGCATGCATGCACTTGCAGCTCCAGAAGTACAGGTGCGTTGCCCCCTTTTCAGTAAGTTTATCATAGGAAGGAGTAGTTAAGATACGATATTAGTGTGTGTTTCAACCGAGTCCGTTCGGGTCCGGGGTCGTTCGAGTCCGGGGTCGTTCGGGTCCGGGGTCGTTCGGGTCCGTTAGTTAAAAATATACTAGTATGTATTTTAGACGGATAAAATGTAAGAGTTTGTAATTCAAAAGAAAATATATTAACCTTAAATATTTAGGTTTCTATATTGGGTATACCATTAATGAGTGAGAGGAAGGGAAGATGGAGAAAGAGGTAGGTAAAGAGGGGGAGTGACTGTACAAACACGTTTCACTCTTATATCCTTGAAAGTAGGCAGTAGTAGGTAGTTCAGTTCATTTATTAATCATCAATTTATGTAATATTTAAATTGCACATAATAACTTAACTCCAACCAGAGCCTGTACTATGGTAACCTGCCTGCTAATAGACATACTTAAATATTTTTAATTACATACATCATCATCATCATCATCAACAGCCTATAATAGTCCACTGCTGGACATAGGCCTCTCTTTAGAGAGGAGGTTACATAATATTAGTAGTAAATTACTCCTAGACTGAACAAATGATCGTGATCGTCATACAATTTTTGTCCTAGGTGGGAATGAACCCCACGACCTCCGGCTTAGCAGTCAGGGTCACAAACCACTCGACCAACAGGCATGTCAACTT